ATGCAAATGATTGTGTTAGATTCAAAGGGTGCAATTGGGAAAATTACCGGTACCCTAATATTTTAGAGAAAAAAAAATTTTTAAAGGAGTTCAACCTGGTACGCAAAAGAAGCGAAATTTTATAATAAATTCAAAAATAATTATCGTTTTAATAAAGTCATATTGTTAAAAAAACTCATTAAATAAAAAATTGTAGAAATGGACCTTTTTCACTTTTAGTTAAAAAACTATTGTTATTTTGCAAGAAAATCTAAAATAATAATTTTTATATAAAAATATTATTATTTTAAAAATTTTTATAAAATATTGCTTTGTTTAAATGTCTACATTACACAATTTTAAAAATTTTTTTTTATATTAACAATAGAGCCTGCTAAATTTTGTAATTATAGTTGCGGGTGGAAGACATTGTTTAATCCATAAAAGTAAATACTTTCCTAAATTAGTACACAAAAAAGCAACATTCTAGACCATTGCCAGGTTAGCAACTCTAAAAAAAGATTTTATGACTCACCCTAATAAGCCTATATATATATATATGTATATATATATATATATATATATATATATATATATATATATATATATATATATATATATATATATATATATATATATATATATATATATATATATATATATATATATATATATATATATATATATATATATATATAGATATATATATATATATATATAGATATATATATATATATATATATATATATATATATATATATATATATATATATATATATATATATATATATATATATAAATATAATAACATTATATACATATATATGTGTGTTTAAAATGTTATTGTCATGTAGGTTTTTTTATTAGGTATTATTAACCAGTTTAAAAAAGTTGTTTATGCTAATTCAGTTAAAGAATGTGAAGATGCTTTCAGTAACATTATTGATTTGTATGGAGAGAAGTATCCAAAATTAAAATTGTACCTGTTAAATGTTTTTGAGATAAAAGAACGATGGTGCATATGCTTTCGAAAAAACATTACAATCAGGGGTAATAATACCAACAATTATGTTGAAGCTCAATTTCTGGTATTGAAGGATAACATACTAAACAGAACAAAAGAGGTAATGGAAATGTTTTTTTTAAATACTATTTAATCAAGTATTTAGGCTTGGGTAGCATTCAAAAAGTATGCACGCTTTAAAACCACTGCACACTCTTCCCCTTTCAATGATTTTAGGTAACCCCTGCCCGTATACATACTTACAAATGCCCGCTGATTATATGCCAAATATTTAAAAACACTTTTACTGTGTTCTCATTGATGTTTGTTTTTTTTATATTTAAGTTATATTTATTTGTTAGGTTAATGTCAATGGACTTGTGGAAAAACTTACCCAAGATTTTAATGAACATTATAAAGCCAAACTTCTGAGCATTGCAAATGGGCGATTCGATGGTATTTACAGCAATCGATTTTTGGGTATATTAATTTCATATAAATGAAAGAAACATATTATGTAATCATATAATGAAAACAAATAAATATTTTTTTAATTTAGGTAGAGACAAAGGAAAGAAAGTAGTTGGATTCGCTCTACCTTCTCCAGAAGTCCTTCAAAATGTTGAAAAACAAATATCCAAAGTTGGACTAGAATTGTACACTGTGCCTAGTTTCAATTTATCTGGTGTACATTATAATGTAGATATGAGTATAGGTATATGTGATTGTTCTGTAGGGTGTGACGGTTCACCTTGTAAACATCAGTACATTGTTTGGAAAAAACATTTATATAGTACAAATTTTCTTCCATATCTAAGCTGTAAAGAGAGACAGCTGTGTTCATACAATGCTATTGGAGCAATTCTACCCGACTCTCTTTACGAAGGATTACATGATTATGTTAGAGACAAGCATGATGAGTTTATTTATAAAGATAACTTCAGGTAATGTTTACAATCGGTGTTTTTCAAATGCTTTTAACCAACAGTTGTTTAGGAACCTAAATCTTTGAATAGAAATTCGTAATGTTTATTAAAGTTTTATCCCAATTATTAACGTTCATAATATTTTGTTGTAGCGCACCTTCGAGTTGTGAAGATATTAGTAATTATGAGGAAACCGATTTTAAAATTGATCGTTCTGAAAGTGTAAATAATCAAGGTAAAAATAGTCCACACTTATTTCAATCTAACGATTTATAATGTTTGCCGCTTTTGATCTTTTTTTTTTTAAATATATTCACAAACTTTTGTTGAAATTAATTAAGGGATAAGATCTTTATAGGCATAAGTGCGAGTACTGTTCAAACCTCTAATACTGAAAATATTCAGCAAGAGTTGGCGGAGGCGTTTAAGATAATGAGCATCTTAGTGGATAAACATTATAATAATGCTGATTTTTTGAAAGGAGTTTCAAAATTTTGTATTCGCTTGAAAATGAATGAAAACAGAATTTCTAATTTAACTTCATCATTGCATTGTTTTGGTATTGATTCTTATCAGTCTAAACGCATAACCAATACTACTCTTCGTAAAAAAAGAAATGGAGTAAAAATAAAAGTTCAACCTGAGGCAGTTAAACGGCAAAAGTTAAAAATGGGAGCAAGACGTTTGTTCAAAAAGGAATGGCAAAGCGCAATAACCCTTTTAATGTATCTGACGTCAGTACTAAAAGAGCACATTCTTTTTCCCAGTGCGTGACAATGTCACTGTTTCTAAAAAAGCTGGTAGAACGATGGGATCAAAAACAAAGTTATTATCTTCAACAATGCCAACTAAAAGTGAAGAGTGATTCAGCCATTTAGTCAAATTAACTTGATTTTTTTCAGTAAAATTGCAATCACTATGTGTGTTGGGGAGAGTGTGCACCCTTGATCCTGAAATCCAGGGAGCTTTAAGTTAATAACAAACCCCTAAAATAATAATAATTGGAGAACTATTATTGAATATAAAAACATATAGACTTTATTAAAGTTTATTAGAACCATAAATAAAGATAACTCTAAATTAGTTTTATAATTTTGAGTTTAATTTTTTATTTTGTTTAATTTTTTGCCCCTGGATTTTAGGATCAAGGGTGCATACTTTCCACGGTGTTGGATGTACAAAATTACAATTAAAAAAATAACTTGTTTAAATTTTATGCAATTTTTTGTGTCTTGACATGTTTCCTTTTGTCGAAAAATGTTTCTTACAATCACTGCATTCAAATTTAAGATTGTCATGTAATGATGCCTTATGTCTTTTAAGAGCTTGCTGTCCAGAAAAAATCTTTAGGCACACATCGCAACAAACTGATCCTGTATGTTTTAGATAATGCTTTTTAAGCTGAATTTTATTGACAAAAACTTTATCACATTTGTCGCATTTGCTTTCAACGCAATTCTTAATATGATAGCGGTATTCACTTCCTTTCTTAAATGACCTTGTGCCAGATGGAGAAGCAAGCATTTCAACTAATCCACAATCTTCTTCTTCACGCATCAATTGACCTTTTTTATTCCACTCCTTAAATGAAAAAATATAATAACAAACTGCGTTTAAATATAATAAATTGCAAATATTTAAAATAATTTATATTAGACTTTTACTTTTCTTTCTGAATCATGTAATGCTTTCCATCTTTCTGAACCAATCTTGCTCATTTCAGGGAAATCCGGTAATTTGCTTTTAATATTTTCGGCTTCTGTCATTGCATTTCTCTAAGCATATATATATATATATATATATATATATATATATATATATATATATATATATATATATATATATATATATATATATATATATATATATATATATATATATATATATATATATATATATATATATATATATATATATATATATATATATATATATATATATATATATATATATATATATATATATATATATATATATCTGTGTGTGTTTGTGGTCAAAACTTATTAAAATTTAATGTTTTTTTGTTAGATGAAAGTAAAAAGGTAAAGTAAAAATGCATACCACAGTTTCTTTATAAAACAAATGAAACCCATTGATCTTACAACTTTTTTTCTTTTTGCGATCTATATTTAAAAGAAATAGCAAACAAAATCTTGAAAAAAAAGTCCTAAAATCGATTGAAAGAAAAGTAACTGAGGAAATGACGTTTTAAGCTGTTGAAAAAATATACAATTTTAAATCCTAACCTCTTATCTCAAAGCTTGAGTTATTTGGTATAAAGTTTTCAGCTACATTTTTATCATTTATTTCAGCCATGATTTTTTAATTCTTCAAGAAGAAAATTAAAACTAAAAACAAAATTAGCCGCTATTTGTTTGCTTAAGACATATTAATAAAAATGTTTACTTTATAACATTCATATATAAAAACGAATTTTAGTAACAATTATCTTCGTCTTGTTTCAGTGAAGTAAGGTGGATTATTAGCGTCCGCAGCAAAAAAAAAAGCGTATTGTTTTTTTTCTTTTTGCACCCTCTTCATTTTTTGCACCGGTGAAAAACGACTTTTGGACACCATGCAACGCCACTGCATTATTTATGTCGGTGTTGAAAAAATAAGGTAAATTTTTTTTTTCCCCGTTTTTCTTCAGGAAGACAAAAGAGAAAAAGAAAAATAAAACCGCGATTATGTTTTGCTCGGAATGCATTAAAAGTTCAAATGCGCATGATCACGTGATTATTTTTGAAAAACTGTCATGCCTTTAGTCCTCATTCTTCCTTACGTAAACAGATTTTTTTTAAATACTACAGTGCAAAATGATTTATATTTGAATAAATCAATTATTTGTTTTCACTATATAACTGTATTCAATATACAACTATTCACTATATACATAGCGAGGAACAATTACAAAGAATTATTCAACCAATCGAGTGTAGTCTTTGTTGTAGTACATTTATTTAAATAAAAGCAATAGGCAAACAAAAATAAGCAAAATGTAAAAAAATGTTATAATAATAACAAAAACAAGGTTAATTGATATAACATTGTTAATAATAGAAATTAAGAATAATGATATAGTAACAATACAGTTAATAAGAATACAAAAAATCGAAATGATATCATTAATTTAAAGAAAACTGTCATGATTATTAACAGAAGCCATAATAGCTATATTAATAATAGAAATAATAGTAGTAACAGCAATAAAAAGAACAATAACTGTAATAACAGTAATACTAAAAGTAATATTAATAGCAATAGGTATAATAGAGAAATCATAAAAGTTGTATAGTTATAATATAAATAAAGTTATAATAGTAATTAAAATAGAAGCAGTAGAATAATATTGTAATATTCTTCTACTGCATCACATTCACTGCTATTATTCAAAGATAAATGGGAGAGTAGAAAGTTGAAGTTAAATTTATTTTAGAGCAGTCATTTATTTCATTAATTTATGAATTTACCTATTAGTTTTTTTGTAATAAATTTTTGATTTTTTCAATTATTTTTATTTTCTAATAATTAAATATACACTACAAAAAATTTATGGCAATTTTATGGAAAAATGTTTCAGGTAATAAAATTATAATAATTATAACTTTATAATTATGCAAGACTACTGTTTTCAGATTTATAATTAATTAATAATTATAAGTGGATAATGTGATATTAACAGGACAAGTAATGAGACTTTATTAAAATTTTTTATGATCTAATAACTGGCGATATATTGTAAACTAATATTATTATTATACAAAAAAATATAAATAGCAAAAACTATAAAAAAAGCAATACATTAATTTTTTCATTCCCATGAGAGGAAATGCTTTAAAAAAAATTTATCTACAAAATATATCATAATATATTTTTAATAAAATTTATGATTGTTGGGCAAAGCTTGATCTTAAATATCTACTCATATATATTACACAAATTTGTTTCAAATTAAATAGTTTATACACACATACATACATACATACATACACATACATATACATACATATATACATATATGTGTGTGTGTGTGTGTGTGTGTGTGTGTGTGTGTGTGTGTGTATTGGGTATAAAAACCATTGGGTTTTTAATATAGTTGATGACAAAGGTATCAATATTCCCTTAAAATATTGTAAAAGTAAATATATTTTTAACAAATATGAATAAAAAGAGGTTTTATTTCAAAATTCTATACAATTAAATTCTATTGAAGATGCCAACATTTAAAACATGTATGTATGTGTGTTTGTATGTATTTATGTATGTATATATGTATGTATTAATATATATGTATTTGGTATTAAATGTTTTTAAGTCTTTGAAACATTTATCTGTATTCTTAGATAAAGAAAAAAATTTTATTTCCTTATTTGAATTAATCAGTCTTGTTTGATGCTTTTTTATATATTAACAGAATGTGTGTATTTACTTTTATTAAAGTTTTAAAAGACTTTTTTAACTTTGGAAGACATTTCATATTGCAACTGTTTCAAAGCTAAAACCATACAGCTTTCCTATATTTGGTAAATAAAAAGGTCTTCAATCATATAAGAAATTTACTGTTCCACGCAGCTTTTATTTGCCTCGTGCACTTAAAGCGAAAATGTTTTCATTTAAAGCTACGGTAACCGAATTTTAATCTCTACTTAATGCGATACTGCCCAAGGTTAAAAAAGATACTGCCAACGGATAATGATACTGCCAATGGTGTACGGAAAAATAATTGGCCTCGGCACAGTCAAACGCTCCCATGGTGACGTCAAGTAAATCACCTGATTTTTTTATCCAAACGTTGTTATTGTTAAATAACAAGGATTTCCGTGCGTGATGAATCAAAGATTTGTGCTCATTAGCAATGATAACATACTGTTCAGCAAAGCAAATTGAGTTGATAAGAAGTTTCTCGTTAATAGAAGAATAAAGGTCAACAATATCAAAAATGAGCAGTTTATAAAAATGTTTGTCATTGATGTTTTTGAACCACTGGGTAACACATAAAATATTTCTTAGCTAGTTGTTTATTTTGGATAAAATATGTTTACTTATTCTTCCTATTTCGTTCTTAGCTGGGTTGAGACGAACCTTAGGTTTATTTAAAAATTAGATTTATGATCTTTTAATGTGATAAAACAGTTTGATGATCGTTAATATGAATTTTGTTAAAAACATCGTGATTTTTTAAAATAATTTTTCCTTCTTTATTAATCTGATCTTTTAATATTGGATTGGTTTTTTTATAATTATTTGTAACAGCGTTTGTCATCAATTTATTGTATTTATCTTAAGGCAGCTTGTATAAGTTTGAAGTCTTATCTGCATATGCATAGATAAATTTTGAATTTTGAATAGAGGATTTTCATTTTCTAAAATATATTTTGAAAGTTGTATTGGATCTTCCTAAACTGTATATTTTTAATTATTTCAAACAAACCGTTTTCAAATGCACACATATCTTTAATCTGATGAGGCAATGCGGTGTATTAATGCAATAAAATATAAACTTTTCATTAATATTTTTATTATTATCATTGGTATTGCACATACCTTTAGGTTGTTTGTTCATGTAGAAAAAAGCTTTCTATCTCATTCTTTTAATCAATCTTTCGGTTTTTTCTAGTAATCGCAACTTCTATTCTTTATTGGATGGTATAGGTATGTTTTTGATTGAATAATTCACGGTTATTTTCTCGATTTTAAACGACTTTAGAAGAGTGCTCAACTGAAAGAGCAAAAATATTATTATTGAGTTGTGTTGTATTCTGATAGATTTAATACAGCTCTTTATCGGTTTAAGAGTGATCGATATTTATAAAATAGATCAAAATATGCTAAATATTTAAATTAAAAAGTACGACTTTTTTTATCGGACTTCAAGTTTCATGCCATTCAGCCATCATTCAGCTATATATTTAAAATCATTAAAATAAAAACCGATATAATAAACACAAAATTGCGTAGCAACGAGATCAAACATCAGTTTTCACGCCAAACGGAAATTTATTTAACTGATATAAAAATTCGATAGCAAAAACTTTTTTCTGTGCCTACATGCTGAAACCAAAATCCTTTTTTAATTTAACAAAAATTCTTTATTGTATGTTGAAATAAAAAATTTCATATGCAAATATATATATACTAGCTGAGTTGACCCGTAAAAATACGGGTCTTTGTAAGTCTATTCCACACAAACCTTTTGCCTTATTTTCTTAAT